CATTATATGTACATACATTTTAATGGTAGTTTGACAAACATAGTTTTATGGTGACCATTACCACCAGGATATAAAACAGTGTCCCATCCCCTAAAATATTGCCTTGTGCCTTTTTGGTCACCTTCTCCTCTACTTCTAACCCTTGGCCATTATTGATTTGTTTTCTGTCTAAAATTGTGTCTTTCCAGAGCATCATATAAATGAAATCATAGCATACGTGACTTTTGAGCTGGACTCTTTGATTTAACATTTGAGATTCATTTTTGTTGTTGCATGTGCAGTAGTTCCTTCCTTTCTATTGTTATTATTCTATTCCATTATATGTGTATTCCACAGTGTGTTTATCTATTTCCCATTAGAGAGACATTTAGGATATTTAGTGATTACAGATAAAGCTTTCATAAACGTTGCTGTACAATTTTTTGTTTGGAATATGGGTTTTTATTGACTTGGGCCAATACCCAGGAATGAAATCATTTAAGTGTATGTTTAACCTTATAAAAAACTGGCAAGCTTTTTTGAGGTGAGTTTTTAAATCAAAATATGGGTAGGGTGCAGTGGTGCTTGTGTCACTTAGGATCATGTTCCCGTAAATGGAACAGCAGCCTTCCTGCTGTGGTTTAACACAAAAAGACCCATTTTTCCCAAGTAGAAGGAACCCTAGGGCTGCTGTTGCTGCCTCACATTACCATCAGGCATATGCTCTCTGTTGCTGCTCCTCAGTAGTTGGTTTGAATCTTCATGCCAACTACTGAGGGGAGAACAGGCAGTTAGTAGTGCTTGATGGTAAGGTTTAAAGTTTATCGAATTTCAAGCTGCAAGTGATACTTGGAAGCAACTCTGTTTTTTTAATAAAGGATAGACTTGAGCAAGTGTTGACTATGCTTATTAGTGTAGAGTGGAGGGCTCAGAGAGGAGAGTCTAGGTCTGGTTTCTGAGGGTGGGCTGAAGGTATGACTGACAGTGGACAGAATGCCTTGGAGGAGGAGTGGGCAAAATCAATGTAGTAAGTAAGTGAGGTTACCGATATGTGAAATTTAGAGATACTTTAAAAGACAATGAGGAAGTTGGGGAAGGATGACAATTGTAGATGAAGTTTATTTGTACCTGCCACATTGCCTTATTATAAATGTTCTGAGATTATTTGCTGAAGTAATCCAAGGTTCTTGCATATCTTGTCTTTTAAGTTCTTGCTTTTTAACATATTCTGAAGTGTTTGTGTGTTGTTCTTTTATATGTACTTTATAGTAAGTATGGGATACATTTCTTTTGGCATATTTGCTATATTTCTTAAAAATATAGTAACATTCTAGCAGTATTTTAAAAGCTTACTATAAATATGTATTTCCTTTTCAAAGGTCTGTCATTCTCAGCATTCTCAACTTTTACAAAAAATGTTATTTGAACTCTAAAAAGAGTACATTTCACACTGGTGTGGCAGAATAATCTTTATATCTTGAATTTTATATTGTGAGTGCTACAGTCTTTCTGAGGAAGTCACTGTCTTCTTTGACATGCTGGAGCAATAGAGCCTTTGTGTAACTGCTATGCTGGAAACTCTTGTCAAAGCTTTCCATGTGTAATAATTTTAGAACTGGAAGAAAGCGCAAAAGATTTGCTTGGTGTATTGCTCCTTTATCTTTAAAGAAAACACAATTTTTGCTTTTGTTCTTTTGTCTTCACAGAGGTGCTCTCAGTATTTGTTTAAACATTTTAAGGTGTTCCACTTATAAACTGCCAAAATATCACTTTGCCCTCCATGGTCTACTCTTCCCCCTAACCCTCCAAAAAAGATTCCCTCTTATTCCTGGTCTGTGAGGTACAATGCTGTGTGATTGGCACTAGGAAAAACAACTAGTAGAGATTTGTTTCTAAAAATCTTGATTTTATAAACATTGAAACATACTCCACAGCAAATTGGGAGGCCACTAGATGGAGTAGTTTTGCAGTATTTTTTTTTTTTTTTTTTTCAGTAGTTACTGTGGTTCAGAGGAAATCCGTTTAAATTGTGTCCCCTGATTTGGAATTCCAACAGAGGGTGTCCCTTCCTAAAGAATGCTACATCTTTTTGAAGTTCAGAAAGACGTTAAAATAAAAATACAGCTGTATGACTTGTGTCAAAGCAGCTGTGGTTCGGTGCAAGTAAAGAGGAAATGTAATTTTATAGAGAAGAGGCTTGTTGGAAAAGTCAATAAACTGATGATGATTGGAGTATAAAGAAAGAGACAGTATAACCAGAATTGATATGTGCCTAGATAATGGTTAGCACAGTTTTGCCTACTTGTTGACTCTAGTGTCTACAGTTTTTCACTGTAAGCTTATGGCATAGACAAAAGGAAGGCAAAGAGGAGAGGAGAGGAGAGAAGAAATGAAAGAGGGAGAAGGAAAAAGGGCATAAGTCACATGGCAAAGTCTTTTAGGGGTAGAAAGATATGATGCAGATATAGGGAGAAAAGTGATTTTAGCAGATTAAAATAGAGAAGCCAACTGTGAAAATATCACTTGTCGCAGTCTTTGTAACTTCATAACATCCACTAATAGTTTAACGATTAACTTTTATCTGTATGTAATGTCAGTCAGCCTTCTTTAGATTTGTTGTTTCAAGTGTGCTTTAGGAACTTAAGCTGTGTCTTTTATCAAAACCCCAGACTTTTCTTTATTTTTATATCTCCACAGTGTGTTATTGGAAGGGCCTTGCTGATTGTTGATATATGTGTAACCACATCTTGTGTTTCTGATTTCCCTTTCCTGGGATAGTTTGCTTTTTAGTAACCCTGTTTTTCAGCCTCTAGGTTCTGTGTCGATAACAATGTACGTTTTGGAGGAGATTTTTATTAATTTAAGCACTGAGAAATAGAATCTTACAGCTTTGAAAGGGATATTGAAAGATCCCTTTCCTTTAGGAAACTGACTCTTTAATTTGCTGGAAAAAGAAAGTGACCTGCTTAAAAGACTTCCACCAAAAGAATCTTTACAACATTCTTGATGTCTTATATAAGGCATTTTTCCCCTGTATCTCACCTAAAGTCCACTTGCTCTAACAAATGCTTACATTCTTTACCACTGAGAAGCATTTAATGTAGCATCTGCTTGCTTGTACATGGTGCACTTATATCAGAACTTTATTGCTTGCATATGGTCCAACATGTTACGGGAACAAAAGAACAAAAATATTGAAGAAACATAAATAGTAAGAATAAATGAATTTGAAAGATGTGGAGGATGTTGAGCAGCTATGAATTACACGCCTAGACACTGTGAGAACTGTGAAAGTTGTTACCTTTTTTCCTCATCATTTCTGTTTCTGCATATTCTGACTTCAGGTTGAGAACAGCTGGCTGCCATCCTCTTTGTAAGATCATTTACTGTCACTTCTCTTCCTCTTTTAAAGGCTGCAAATAGTTCCAGTTCCTTTCATCTTTCTTCAGAGGTTTTACTTTTCATCCTGTTAATCATCTTTGAGTCTTTTCTGAATCCATTCCAAGTTTTATTTTTCCTCAACATTCCTTTTCAGTTTAGAAGTACAAAACTTGACACAGTGCCCTGAGAGTTTCTGACCACTTTTGAGATCGTGGGAGGAAGATTTCACACTTGTATATATGCCAGTGTCTATTCCATGTAGTCTCAGATTATGTTTGCTTTCCAAAAGTGTAGTCATATGGTGCTGAGTAGCTGTCAGATTTTTATCTACTATGACCTTGATCTTTTCCTCTTATGTTTATTTATAGCTTGTACATTCATCATCTTTTATTTATGGAGTTTATTTTTCTTGGCTGGATAGATTGCTTTGCACTGTCCTCATTGAAATTCATTCCCTTTTTTTCTGATTACTTCATCACTTACTCAATGTCATTTCCATTGTTGTCTTCCAATGTGGCTAACCCGTAGACTTCGTAGTATCTGAGCTATTCAAGTCAATAATATAGATGTTAAAAAATAAAGAAGTGGTTGGAAATAATGTCCAGGAAACATGATTTCAAATTTTACTCTTATGAGCAACCAGGCTTCGTGGTAGAGAGCCGTCTCTCTTACCCTCCTTTTGTGCTTTTTAGACATTTAGGATCTATTTTCCTTACCAGCAGAGTTTGGTGACTGTGTCCACAGAACTGTGCCAAGGAAACAAAGAAAGCTTTGTTAGAACAATTCTTTTGCACACTGCCGTAGATTTAATCTTAATCACTGCCTTGTATACCTCTCTCCCTTGTTCGTAACTCTCAGTGGTTTCACACTGCTGCTGAGTTAAATACACACTTTCTAGTCTGCCATTCAAGGCACATTTTGGCCTCAGCCTCCCTTTCTGGTCTGATTGCCTGAAACTATATTATGTTATAGCCATTCACTGGATATCTCTCACACTTGCTCAGACCTTGGTTTGTTTACTTGTTTGCTCTGCTTAAAATGCTGAAGCTTTTTTTTTTTTTCTGATTTCTGTCTGTTAACACCATTTAAGACTTTTTTTTTAATGTTCCTTTTTTTCTGAATTTCTTTAGCTAGAGATGATCTTTCTCTCCCATCCTCTAATTTTTCTCTTCTTTGGGGGTACTTATATTTTGCCCTGTGATGCAGGTGTTTGTGTGCCTTGCTGTCCTTCCTGGTAGACTGTACCTTTTTTTGATAGCTGTTTCTTCCTATCATGGAAGCTTTGGCTGTACCTAGTATGTTTTTGCATAAGTAATTACATATTCTTATTACATTTTTTCTTACAGTATTATGGGCACATGCCAAATAGATGTTAGATCACTTTGAGCTCATATTTTGGAATATTTGATTTAAATTCTAGTGTAAGTTCCTTACCTAATTGAAACTGGTAGCAAGTTCTGTGGCCTATCAAATGATCTACATTTCAGTAGCATTATTATACTTTCCCCCCTTAAAAAATTCCAGAAGTAATTAAAGGTTTATAAAGGTTTATTAATCATTTAACAAAAACCCCAATTGCTGGATTAATTAAAATTATATTCTGAAAACCTTTTTGACTTCTTTGATTTTTTGTTTCCTAGAAACTACCCAACTTTGGCCAATATTGAAAGGAAGAACAAGTTAAAACTTGAAAAGGAAAAGAGAGGAGCAGTATTAACAACAACACAGTATGGGTAAGTTCCTTAAACTTAGTTTGCATTCTCTGTTTATTTTAATGGAATGTACTTTTAAATAATAAAAAGCATACACCAAAATCTTAAAATCTTTACATTCCCAGTTCTGAAGTGTTTGCTTTGGTAACTTTTTTTTACTTATAAATCATATTTTAAAGTAAGAAAGATTTATAGTTAGCAAGTCTTTTCTGTTTTTGTCTCCCAGCTAATGCTCTCCTTCCTGGAGGCAATCTATTCTAGCCTTCTAGAGACATTCCATGTGTATACAGCACATAAATAATAGGTTTTTTTTCCCTTTTTTAAATACTAATCTGTACTTGGTGGTTTTTTTTTTTGTTTTTGTTTGCTATTATAAAATCAAAAGAATGAATAAAATGGTATGGTTGTCTTAAAAAATAAGGGTACTTTTTTGATACAATTTAAGACTAGTAGTGAAAAAATAAAAATCAAACTAGTAATAAGAGATAATTTCCTTCATCTATACAGGGTTAAAATTTAAGTATAAATTAAAGGTAGTAGTGAAATACTGATCATTTTCCCCCTGAGATTGGGACAAGGATGTTTACAACTACTACACTCATTAAATGCTGTATTGGAAGGCTCTGTAGTAAAGCAAGAAAGAACTAGAAGCTATAAAATGTGAAAAGTGAGAAGTAAAATTGTTAGGTTTTAGGATTGATCTAATTTATGTCTGCAAAAAATCCAACCAAGCTTACAGTTAGAATTAAAAATGTGTTTAGTTAGGGTGCCAAATACAAATAAAATCATTATTTTAAAAAAATACTTGTATTTCTATATATTAGCAATAAACAACTATAAATGAAAATTTAAAAAATATTATTTATGAAAACATCAAAATATTGAATACCTAGGAATACATTTTGACAAAAAGTTTGCAAAATCTCTTCACTGACAACTGCCAAACATTGCTCAGAAAAATTAAAGGCCTACATTATTGGAGGGATATATAATGTTCATAAACTAGAGGATTCAGTCTGATAATATCTGTTGTCCCCAAATTAATTCTAATTAGAATTTCAGCAAGGTTTTTTTTTTTTTTTTTTTTTTTTTTTTCGGTGTTTTTGTTTTTGGTAAGGAGATAGTGGGCAGGGAGGGAGATATGGGGATTTAATATTTACAGGAAATTGTTAAGGATCTAGAATAGCTAATAATGTTAGAGTGATGAAGATAGTGTGATATTGATAGGGATAGATAGAGTTCACAAACACATCCACTGAATAAGTCACCTGACTTATGATATAGGTGGCAGTGTGTCTCAGTAGTGAAAGGATAGTTCTCAACCTTTCCTTTAAATTTCTGTGTCTGTGTTCTTAAAAGTGTATCTCTTATAGAATAAATAATTTGGCCTTTATTTTCAGTAATCCAGACTGAAAATCTGGATTTAGCTAGGATGTAGTTCATTTATATTTAATGTAATTACAGGTATAGTTGAATTTCAGTCTACCATCATCACATTGAGTTTTTTATCCTGTTCTTTATTTCCTTTCCTCTTTTGAATTAATTGAATTGTTCTTTAAATATTTTATCTCCTCCTCTATTAGTTTTTGAGTTTTAATTCTTCCTTAATCTACTTTATATGCATTTACTATGTTTTTACTAACATATTTTGTATAACTATTTTTTAGTGTTGTTTAAATAAACTTCCTTTTAAATGATTGTCAAGCAGTGGGATAACAGAACTACCCCTTCAGATGTGAGGTGCCACTTTTTCAGTGAGTCATCTGTTAAAGATCATAACTCGCTGTTAGTGAATACCTTAAAGATGATCTTTCAAAAGCCAGCTGTGGACAGGTGCTATAAGAGCACGATATAGTAAGGGCATCTGTGAGCAGAAGCCTAAGGAAAGTAGCATCTCTACATTATCTTCATGGGGATGGTGGATTGGAGGCTTAAAGCGTATGTTTCACCCGTGATGACACTGTTGAGATGTTAGCCTGACATTAATGGGTGAACATTGGGAATTGGTTAATAGTTTTCACAAAATTTGGACTAATATATATGTATTTTTTGAAATGAGATTCTGTAAGGATTGTGGTCACCCTAAAAGGATTAAGAACTAGATTACAGAGAGAGTAACTGAATGTGTTGGTTTAGCAAATTATTTAGAAAATGCTATGTTAATAGCTACTACTAATTAAGGCTTATTGTGTTATCTTGTTCTTCTAAATGCAAAACACTATATTCTTTCTGTATTTCTATGAGTCTCTTTATTTAGATGAGGGAATAATAGCTTCAGAGATATTAATAATCCAAGAGACATAGATAGTAAGGGGCAAAATTGGAATTTGAATCCAGGTTTCTAATTTCTGTACTCCTAACTACAGCCTCTGTTACTAATGTGAGGGGGGTGGTAAGAAGCCCAGTAAATGACATTTTGGGGAAAACATACGTCTTTGTAAAAATTCTGCTCCACCAAAAATTGCCTTCTGGTCTATTGAGAATTATGTAATGAATCTTTTTAAAAATGATCTTTTTTGCCTCTACACAGTTTACATTAAAATATGCTAACCTAAGTACTTGTTTTCCTTCTAAGGGGAGTAATTGTAGGAATTGAGAGGGCACTTGATTTGAGCTAGCTGTGAAATTGTGGTTGGCCTATGATCTTTAAGTTTTATCTCCTGTAAAGTGAAGAGAATGGTACCCATCTTATCTATTTCAGAGTTGTCATGAAGATCAAATAAGGCAGCATATTTGTGTTAAGTCTCCTAAAAATGAGTTGACAAGAGTTATAACATTTTATAAAATCCAAGAAATCCTTTCACTTAACACTACCTATATTCTTCTGCTGTTGATTGTATTACATAAGCCACTTTGAGGGTTTAAAACTTGGGAGGAAATGTGCATCTTTAAATTAATAAAGTGTAATATTGTGGAGTGTTCTTCATTTAAAGGTCTACCATAGTGTTTTCTGTCTTTGGAGCCCTGATTTTTGCTCTAATGTATGAGGCTACAAGTAACTGATTTGACAACTAGGTTTCTTTTGAATTCATTATTTTTTTCCAAAAAATTTTGAAATGTCAGTGCCTTTTATATTAAGAGTTGTGATTTTCATGCTTCAGCAAGATGAAGGGGATGTCCAGACATTCACAGATGGCAAAAATCAGAAGTCCTGGCAAATATCACAAATGGAAAAATGACCGTGCTGGGCAGAAAGCAGCCATTGAATCAGGCAATCACTCAAGCGATTTGAAGCCTGAAGGTCCACCTGAGGCAAATGCAGACCCTCTGAGTGTTTTGGTAAACACTGATTCAGGTAAGATAAACAGGAAAATAATGTTTTCTAAGAGTATAGTCAGTGATGCTGAAGTTAATTCTTAATAGCGTGGTTTCTGGAGATTTTTTTTTATGATTTCTTTTTTAATTTGTATCTTTTACATCACTGTGTATTCCCCATAAAATTCCCACCACCAGTTCACCTGTGAACTATCACCATAGTCCTTGTGCTCTTCTTTTCCCTGTTTTGATCCCTTTGCCTCCCCCTCTCTTGCAGAATGTCTCTTATTTATGTGTTGCCTGCTGGTTTTGCTGTTTTATTATTGTTATATATTGTTTTTCTGATTCCTTATTTGGTTCCCCTATATTCCTCCAATAAGTGAAACCGTTTGATATTTTTTCTTTTTCCTCTGGCTTATTTCACTGAGCATGATCCTTTCCAGCTCCATCCATGTTGCTGCAAATGGCATGAGTTTATCTTTTTGATTGCTGAGTAATATTCCATTGTGTATATGTACCACATCTTGATCCAGTCATCTATTTTTGGGCATTTGGGTTGTTTCCGTATCTTACCTATTATAAATAGTGCTGCAGTAAACATAGGGGTGCAGATGTCCTTTTGAATTAATGTTTTTGTGTCCTTTGGGTAGACACATAGGCGTGGAATTGCTGGGTCAATTGGTAGCTCTGTGTAGGAGAGTTCTTTTTTCTCCACATCCTCACCAGCATTTGTTGTTGCCTACTTTTTTATTGTGTGCCATTCTCACTGGTGTAAGGTGTTATCTCATTGTGGTTTTGATTTGCATTTCCTTGATTACAAGGGATGTTGAACATTTTTTCATATACCTGTTGGCCATTTGCATTTCCTCTTTGGAGAAGTGTCTTTTTAGCTCTTCTGCCCATTTATTGACTGGATTGTTTACTTTGTTTTTTATTTATTTATTTATTTATTTATTTATTTATTTATTTATTTATTTATTTATTTATACAAGCGCTGGGTACAGTCAGAAGCGCGGGAGGGTGAGAGAATTCACCAGAGCCAGAGCGGGGAGCAGAGCAGGCAGACAGAAGGACCGAAGTACACTGCTGAGGGGAGCAGTGGGCGGCAGGAGAGGTCTGCGCGCCATGTGGGACCCTCCTCCAGTGGCCGGGGAGCAGCCGGGGATGGAACCGGCGCCGCAGAGGCCGCGGGCTGCTTCGCAATCCAGCGCTCAACCGCTGTGCCCCCGGGGAGACCCCTGTTTACTTTGTTTTTATTGAGTTATGTCAGTTCTTAGTAGATTTTTGTGATCAGTCCCATATCACTTGCATTGTGCGCAAAAGTTTTTTCCCAATCAGTAGGGTGTCTCTTTGTTTTGGTTAATGTCTCTTTTGCTGTACAGAAGCTTTTTAGTTTGATGTAATCCAAGGTGTTTATCTTTTCCTTCACTATCTTTGCTTTGGGGGCTGTGTCTTTAAAGATGTTACTGAGATGTGTGTCATGTAGTGTTTTGCCTATATTTTCTCCTATATATTTTATGATTTCACGTCCTACATTCACATTTTTTATCCATTTTGAGTTGGTTTTTGTGCATGGTGTGAAATAGTAGTCTAGTTTCATTCTTTTGCAAGTAGCAGTCCAAGTTTCCTAGCACCATTTATTGAAAAAAACTGTCCTTGTTCCATCATATTCTTTGCTTCTTTGTCAAAGATTAGTTGTCCATAAATATGTAGGTTTATTTCTGGGTTTTCTGAGTGTCTGTTTTTGTTCCAGTACCATACTGTTTTAATTATTATGGCTATGTAGTATAGTTTGAAATCAGGGAGTGTGATAACCTCCATTCTCCTTCTTTTTAGTCAGGAGAGCTTTGGCTATTCGAGGTTTTTTTGTGGTTCCACATGAATTTGATCAATATTTGTTCTATTTCTTTGAAGATTGTCATTGAAGTTTTTATCAGAATAGCACTGAATCTGTAAATTACTTTCAGTAGGATGGCCATTTTGATAATGTTAATTCTTCCAATCCATGAACAAGGGATGTCTTTCAATTTATTTGAGTCATCTTCTATTTCTTTTAACAGTGTCTTACTTTTTTTTAAATATATTTATGCATACAAGAGCTGGGGTACAGGCCAGAGTTGTGGGGTGGGAATGACAGAGTGGTGAACAGAACAGGCGGACTGACTGAAATACACTGCTGAGGGGGGCAGCGGGTGAGACAGGAGAGGTCTGCTGCGCCATGTGGATTAGCTCCCTGGTCAGGGAGCAAACTCATGCTACAGTGGCTGCGGATAGCTTCATAGTGCTGCAACTTAACCCCTTGCACCACCAGGGAGGCCCCTAGTTTTTTTTTTTTTTGTATGGGTCCTTCACCTCTTTTGTTAGGTTTATTCCCTAGTATTTGATTTTTTTGCTTTCAATTATAAAAGGGATAGTTTTCTTAATTTCTTTTTCAGATCGATGGTTTGCATATAGGAAGGCTACTGATTTTTGTGTGTTGATTTTGTATGCTGCTACTTTACTAAACTGGTCTATAGTTTTGATTAGTTTTTCTTTGGCGTTTTTAGGATTCCCTATGTATATTATCATATTGTCTGCAAATAGTGATAGTTTTCTTTCTTTCCCTATTTGGACTCCTTGTATGTCTTTCTCTTGTCTTACTGCTCTGGCTAGGACTTCCAGTATTGTATTGAAAAGCAGTGGTGAGAGTGGACATCCTTGCCTTATTCCAGATCTTAAGGGAAAGGCTTTCAGCTTTTCACCTTTGAGGATAATACTGGCTGTTTTGTGGAGATTTCAATGAAAAAGATGTAAAATAAGTAGAGGGATAGTTTTGTTTCTAATTGGAGAGTATATGGAAAACCTCACTTCAGGACATCTATTCTAAATTAGAAATGGGTGATGAATCAGGCAGTCTGGGCAAGAAAATTTATATACATTGGATAATTCCTATATTGTGCTGTAATCTCACATTATTTGTGAGGTTGTTTTGACTATATTAATGATAAGGATTCATGTTTGCCCAGTTATGTGACTTTCCCCCTATTTCTCCCCACCCCATAAAGCTGTTAAATCCAATGGAAGCAAGTATTATTAAGTTTGCCTAGCATGACCATGATCTTTTTGGGTTAAATAATATTTAAACAGTATTAACAATATTTATGTAATTCTCTTCTTCCTCAGAGAATAGAATGTATTAATATGTGTTTATAGTTTATCCTTGAATTCCCCCTAGAACTCATGAAAAAAGTGTATTCTTATTTCTAAGTTGAAAAATTAAAGAACCAAAGTGCTGCTATCAGATACAGATGTATCATTCAGCCTCTCAAGGTTATGTTTCCCCTTTGAGAAATAAAAATGCATTTGTAAATATTTCTAGCACCTTTCCTTCCAGTAACATTGTGGGACTTTGTTTATGCTTCCTCTTTTATAAAGGGATATTATTAGTGAGTGAACTGATACTACATTGTAGGTTTATATTCTGTAAAGAAGAGAATGGTACCTGTCTTATTTTTTTCAGAGTTGTCATGAAGATCAAACAAGGCAGCATACTTGTGCATGCTTCAGAAACTTTAAGTCTCCTTAAAAATGAGTAGACAAGCACAAGGGACTATGGTGATGGTGCATTGGTAAATTGATGGTGGAAATTCTATGGGGACTATACCTGAAAAGAGAAAGCAAACATTGTACATCATTTACAATGATGTAAAATAAACATAGATAAATAAATTATATTTTTAAAAAATGAATAGACAAGAGTTATAACATATTTTATGAAGCCCAAGAAACCCTTTCACTTTACATACAATAGGAAGGAAATAATGCTGCCAGCTCTAGTTACCTGTTACTGATACACCATAAGCCGCTTTCTGAGGGTTTAAAACATGGGAGGAAATTTGCTAGCAGGTTCTGTTCACATGATAAATTATTGAACTTGTGGATACCAAGAATGGGGGAATAACCAATTCATTGACTAAATTAGAATAGAAAAAGATCTTGTTATAAGGAAATGTTGACCTCAATATAAGAAGGTAAAATTTAGTAAGAATAAGTTAACACCAATTAAAACTCATTAAAGTACTTATACTCTAAATGCTATGTATATATTAACTCTTTTCTCATAACAACCTCTTTCATATGTATTGTTGTTACTTCATTTTAGAACTTAAGCACACAGAATAAGTAATTTATTTTAGCTATGCTGCTGGTTGGTGGGAGAGCCAGAATTTGACCTTAGGAGTCTGACTTAACTAGTGCAGTACCATTCTTCTAAATGTGAAGACTGAATTTGTATAAAAAACACTATGTGTGTCTAGGATAGTTGAGATGTGGGAGGGAGTTTAGAAAAGACAGTTTCTTGGCCTTACTGATAGCAGGGAAAAGACAGCTTACATCTTGGGCCAGTGCTAAGTTTATTCCTGGACACTAATTTTTTTTCCTTCAAAAAATTTTAGAGCCCATACACTTCAGATTTATAGTGGTTGACCTTGATGATAAAGCATCATCTGTACCCAGATACAAGTTTTTATGTCATTAAAGTACTTGAAACACAAATATATGAAAATATTATCAGTATAGTACTAGTTTGAAAATTATGAATTCTTCATTTTCTGTAGTTCTCTAATTGAATATTGGAAGGACTCTGACATTGAATAGTCTGTTGTTTTCATTTTGTTAGCTTTGATAAATGGTTAGTTGTTTTCTCACTTTTTTTTAATTGATGAAACTTTTATTTTCTTAAATTATTGTTCATTTTTGTTTTCTCACTTTTTAAAGAAGTCTTTCAGTGTGTGCCAGTCTGATGAAACAATAATGAGAAGATGATTATATGTTGCTTCTAGTTAAGCCTGTATCTAGGCCTTGAAGAGATACTTTAGACGTGAAAAAACAGTAGTAAATATCTTTCATCCATATATGAAAAGCATTCAGTCTGATTCCTAGGAACAGTTGAATGAGACATCTGTTTTGGTTTAATGCTGACACGCTTATCTATGATGAGTGTCAAAGTTGGAACATACCTATGCTATGGATCAATGACAAGAATGTCAGTCTTGAATATAA